GCGCGTGGGTCGAAGTGTTTGAGCAGTCCGTGCGGTCAACGAGTCGACGGTAACTAGTCCAGCTATCAACAGCAAACATAGGACAGTTCCTTCGGTCAGCTCATGCTTTCATTTTTTCGTAGTTTCATTTTTATTAATCTCACATGGTTGCTCCGCTTCAATAATTTGCTTATATTGTCCGTATGATTAGTAACACGAGTCGTGTACGATTAGCCAGCGCTAAGGCTCAAATTACCATCTATATGCAAAGGCCACAGAGCTGCTACATTCGCTATGGCCGCTACATTCGCTATGGGTGCTTTGTCGCTACGAAATGAACGTTATACGATATTCGCTTCAACTTCTCGTCAAAAAGGATTTTTGGCCTGACAATCACTATCCAGTGTCGCCTCTTATTGGCGATGATGGGCTAGTGCATTTTTGGTAGAGAGCATCAATGAAGGATCATTGCAACACAAAATTGTCCCAGCTTTGAACAGAAATCAATAAGGCCGATGAGAATAAGCTGCACAAGTGCACTGCCCGTTATAACGTGCGAGGATTGTTTTAAAAGGCCAGTAACTGTATTGGAGATCTCATCCTAGAAAATGCTCTGTAAGCTTTTGGCATTTTATGCGGTAAATTGGTTGTGTCACATCAAAGCAGCTCAACAACCCTTAGTAACCTTCAGCTCTTGCAAATACCGTACGATCCTTATGTGCCAACTCGCTTCACCAAGAAGGCGCGGGAAAAGCTCACAACATTTTTTCAAATCATTTCCGAGAAACCCTCATTTTTCAAGGTGAGTATAAGTTGACTCTATGAAAAACGATATCAATGCATGTCTTTCTGAGCGCATTTTTCACTTCAATCTATCATACTTATTTGTAAGCAGCCTTACCATATTACTTGAAAACCCTCTTACAACTTTTCTGATGCAAAATCGAACAAACTAGATGTCATTCATGTCATAAATCGGAGTATCTTCAAGTTAGGTTTTTTGAATCTAAATTGTGAGCGCAAGTGAACGCTTTGTTTTTTTCTTGGCCTATGTGTAGTTCAGAAATTTGCTTTATTCCGTGAGCACTAGAAAAGGCTCGTTTTTTTTTGTAAGCTTGGAAGTAGTCCACATTGCTGGCACGCTTTCAAGATTAATACAACATAACTGTTTTGCATGTAGGAAAGAAAACTAGACGGAAGTAACTGGACAAATCCTACAACAATAAATTTTCATCAATTTTACCCGATACTTTATCAATTGCCTTCAAAGGCCATGTGTAAAGGACGTTCTAAAAACTGCTACCCGTAGTTAAGTCTGTCAGTTCAGGTGATCTAAACTGAAACCCTCTTTTGACGTTCGTAATACGAACTTACGACCGCCCACTCCCCCGTGCCATAAGCATGCAAAGTGACCTGACAAGTGAGTGTTTGGTCAGGTGTCACGCTGGATCACTTTACTTCTTAAGTGCAGTGCATGCTTTGAGACGATCTTACGAAATAGTGCGAAAACAATGAAAACTAGGAAAATCACGCAAGCTGCTCGCGAGCATCTTACAATACAAATTTTGACGTAACGCTGCGATGCCAAAACGCGCAAGACTGCTTTTCGAGGAAATGGTAATCGGAAGAGTCGATAAACGGCTGATTGCAGCAAGAGAGTTGAAAAATAAGCTGTTTCTCTTTTTTTGCTAAAAGTGCCCTAATTCTTCAAAAAAAAATTCTTCGAGGTTAGACCTCATCCCGCTATTTTTTTTCTAGCAACTGTAATATCCCCGTTTCGAGCCCACCCTTTTACAGCGTTTATGATTTTATGATCGATTTTTTGAAAGTAACCGCTATCAAATTTCACAGTGATCGGCCGCCTCAATGTGGAAATGGGGGTGTCGAACTGCAATGCACAGCGGAAAGTTTACTCTGGTAGGGGCTCCAAAGCTGTGGAAATTCAATATTTCCGGTTTACCGGATGCTTAGATATTCGCATGAGATCCTGTCACCTCGACTAACCATCCTACGACTAAGACCTTCACGTCAGTAGACCATCAGCATCATCAACTGCTACCACTAACGATTCAGAACTAGATGCTTTCTACGAAGACGTGGAGCAGGTTGTCCGCAACGGGAAATCCTTTTACAAGTTTGTTGTGGGCGACTTCAACGCGAAGATCGGGATGCCACTAGAAGAAGAATATATGATCGGAAAGTTTAGATATGGGCTCTGAAAAGAAAACGGCAACCGTCTCTGGGCTTCTCTCCGCCGCACGACTTTTCCTGGAAATTCCATCTATTTAAAGAAAGAACATGCCGGTGGACTTGGGAATCGCCCAATGGAACGACTCATGCGATCGACCCATTCTCACGGACCGAAGATGGAGCTTTCTCGATGTCTCAGTATTTCATCCTTCTACAGGGGATCCGATCACCGCCATCTTCGGACTAAGGTATGATTGAGTCGCAAGCTGGAAAGGGAAGTCTGTCACATTGCCGCAAGAAGGAAGGAAGTCGTTTACGATAACAACAGGCTGGTAGAGCTCATATCAAGTGGTGGCTGGCCCATAGAGGAGGTCCCGCGTGCGACTACGACCGGCTTCTGAAGGGAGAGCGAGCCTGTGGAGAGCTTTAGTAACTTACGAGAAAAACATGAACGCATCTCGAAGACCATCAAGGAATTATTCGAAAGAAGAAGATTCTTGGAGCAGGATCCGAAGCAATCCTCTCGAGCGGCTGATACAACGCCAGTTGCAGAACAGCTGTGCAGAAGAATCTCAGGAAGTACAGGCAAGCCAAGATACTGGAAGCACCCGAGGGAAGAACTAGTCTCAAAATGTGCCGAAGGGACCTCTGTGGATAGCTCGTACAGCAAAAGCACCATTGAAGAAGACAGGATCCCGACTTCCCACGATACAAGATGGAATTTATCGCGAAGAACTTCTATAACGACCCTCTTTCACTCATGGACACTCGTGCCGATACCCGTTGTTTTTACTGGAGAAGTACCACCAAAGATTCTATCTGCTGAAGTGCGTACCGCGATTCAGACCATAAAGACAAAGCGTTCACGTCTCCAGGACCAGACCATCTTTCCGTCGAACTTCTGTGAGCCAGGACACCGTCTACACGACATTTTCGCGCCGCATTCAACGTCTTAGCTTCTGAAGGAAAAAATTCCCGATCAGCGAAAAACTTTAGGAACTGTCCTTCTCTTCAGGAAGGGCAAATGGGAGGATCCTCGGAGCTACCGTCCCATAGGCCTGTTGAGTGCGTTGTACAAGCTTTTCACTCCCCGCTATCCTTGCTCGCATATCTAGGACACTGGTGATGCGCAACCCCAAGAACAAGCTGGATTTCGCAAAGTATCTAACTGCATGGACCACATCCAGACGGTCTCAAGGGTCATAGAAGTCTGCCGGGTACCGACTGTCTCCCGTCCTTACCTTGGTCGAATACGAGAAAGCTCATGACAGTGACGGAACCAACGTCACCATGTTAGCGCTAGTCGATCAAGGGATGGGCCCGTGAGGTCGTTAGCCGACTGCTGACGACAAAGATGTACAACGACGATGCAACTATTCCATCGCCCCAGACCATCACTATTGAGACAATGCGACACAATCTCGACGAAGCTGTCCAATGCGGCCTGCGGCCTTACAGCGGGTGATGAAGTCACTGGACTGGTACAAGAGGGGCCTACAAGTTGATGGGAGATTCCTGTCGGACCTTCGTTTTGCGAACGACATCCTTCTCTTTTCGAGCAGTATTACTGAAGCAGATACGACGCTGAAGCAACTAAACGAAGTGGGGAAGTAGATCGGTTTGCGAATAAATCGGAAGAAGCTCATGGAGAACGTCCTTTCGAAGGTGCAGAAACGGCATTGGAAGGCATTTTCATAATGGAAATGTCTTCTTACGTGTATCTCGGACGTTCGATGAACATGAAAAACGACTTGAATCGAGAACTCAACAGGAGAAGAAGAGCATCCTGGGCCGCTTTCGGGCCTCTCATTGAAGCCACCGACCAACTGACAAATCCGAAGCTCCCATCTGTTCGACCCAACCGTTCTCCAGGCGCTCTGCTACGCAGCTGAGGCGTAGGCCCACAGTAGCCATGTGAAAGCGAGGACCACCCACGCTTGAGCGCAGTCTTCTGCAGATGACCCCACACACAACATCTTCTTGGACTTCGCAGTACGGATATGAGAAGAATGTCTTTATGACCTAGCGAGCCCTTGCGAAAGCAAACATCCACGGTCCGGTCACATCACGAAAAGAACAGACGGCAGATGTACACTAGGAACGGAACATCGGAGTGGATTCCTCGCAAAGCCAAACGTCCCCGAGGAAGATCACCGACGAGATGGGCAGACGTGTTCGTGGAACGGATGGATTAACTGAGAAATTAGCTGATACGATTTTTTAGCTACGATTTTCGCACCTGAAACTCGTGAACGCAGCCACCGACGACAACCAAAAAGATAGTGGATGTCTGAAGCTAGAGACAGGGGTCGATAGAAACTTCTGTGCTGGGGTCCGCACTTCACGTGACGTGCCTAACAAGGAAATGATAAAAATTCGAAGTGCCAATCCCAGCAAGCCTTATGTCGTTTGAACACTCCATAAAAGACTGGTTACGTATTCGCCTTCGGTATTTGCTTATTGATCACCTACATAAGTTATGGCCCTCATTCCACCGTGGTGCCGCCGCGCATCATAGGTACCCGTCGCTCATCCATGGCTAAGGTGGGGTAAGTATGCAGAGACTCACGGGACAACGCAGCGTTTTTTATTTGCAAGTTTGATTTCTTTTTGCTACTCAATCTTTTGCAACCGGCCCCCAATATCTATGTTGTGAGCGCGAAAATCCTAATGCGATTAAATAATTGAACATGTAAAGACTTCAAAAACTTTTTTTACCACAGTCTCGTTTGAGAATTGAGGATAATCATGGTGAAAACAAAGAATGCTGATGAATAGAATGTTCATGTTGTCGAAAATCCTTCTCTCGTACATGCACAAATCTGTGCTCCATGTTCAAAAAATTGCCCACTCATTTCTGTTACTCCGAGGGATACCTTGACTCCCATCCAGAATCCTTCCACATTCTCTCTCAACATTGCTTTCGACCCGGTCTCATAACACTTTGTGACTCTCAGAACTGTGATGAAGAACATTTTATGGGGTTTGCCTACTGCGAATCTCCTGTACTTTCAGCATTTTATTGTTGCCTTCCATAATTGCTCACTGTTTTATCCGAATTCACTTGTACTATCAAAATAATTCAGAAAATATAGTTTTCGAAGCTTTAGATGCTAAAGTACCTTTTTAATCGCGTTAGGAATTCGCGTTATCTATAATAGATAGATTTTGGGGATGGGTAGCAAAAGAGTAGCAAACAAAAGGAATCGAACTTGCAAACAAAAACCGCTGTGTCGTCCCATGAGTCTGCAGAGTCTGCAGAACTACCCTGCGCTATAAGTCCACCCTGAGTCATGGATGAGCGACAGGTACTTATGATGTGCGACGGCCCCATGGTGGAAACGAGGGCCATAACTTTGTGTAGGAGAGCGATAAGCAGATATTGAAGGCGGATATGTAATCAGCCTTCCATGGAGTTTTCGGAGGTATACGGCTTGCTGGGTTGACCACTTCGAATTCTGGCCATTCCTTTGTAAGCATTTGAGTAAGTAACCGCTATCAAAGACTGCCTCGCAAGTATTGAACAGACTAGCCGGTACGAAACCATGGCGGTTGAAAGGCAATAGCTAAGTTGCTCGACCAAACCTGCACAAACCTTAAAGCCGTTTTTTCTTGAGAAAGCGTAGCCCTCATTATTTCACAGAGCGGCCCCACTCAATGATCGATGGCACTGTTGATACTGCATTGAGGCACCATAAGTTTACCTAGGCACCAGTGGCGTACCGAAGGGGGGGCGGGGGGGGGGGGCGCGCGCCCCCCCCCCCAAGAATGGGTCGCGAAATTTTTGAAAGTTACTTAAATGTGTTATAAAATGTGCCAGAGGACCCGTTTTTATTTGTAAATAATTAAAATAATTTTTAAAAATTTTTAAAAATTCAAATTAGCCTTATAAAAAAAATTTTTCGGGGGCGTGGCTGCCGCCACGCCCCCTTTTTCTGAAATTTTGGGGTCAGGGGCCCGGAAAAATTTTGGGAAACATCCCAAAAAAATTTTCGGAGTGCGTAGCTGAAGCCACGCACCTTCATTAGAAAAAAATTTTTGTCGCGCCCCCCCCCCCCGAGCCGAAATCCTGGGTACGCCACTGCTAGGCACCTCAACTTACCTGAACTGACCTAGCTTTACTACAAACCTCTTTACTTACAAGTGTTTGAGCTCCACTGCTCGCTGCTCTGCAGTTGTTAGATCGAGCTTGTTGACGAGAATACAGTTTATTTCTGTAATCTTCGTGTTCTTGGCAACGTCCTAAAAGACATTTAGGACGAAAACCAGTGCAAAACAATCATAAACATGCACATTTGAACTGAAATCAACCAAATTATTCTGGCCTAGCAATTTCCACTTTCTTGGATCATCTTCTTTATCGTGAGTGATAAACAAAAAAAGCTGAGTAGTGTCGGAACAAATGAGAAGCTTAATTGATCTCTTCTCCATACCCCCCTCCTCCTAGTCGGATTTTTGATGGTACACGTCTTATGAAAATGCAAATAACTCCTTTGTTCGTGAGTTTTTTCCCATACACATACGAAAATTCAAAAGTAACTTAGTGAGTTTTTATATTGCGACACTTCCCAAGTCCCTCAAGAGAATTCTTTACTGACTTAATTTGTGGAACATTTATGGATGAGTAGTCATGCGTTTTTTGGAGCCAAAAATTGAATTTGCAAGTAGGATGGAACATTCGTAATCGGGTGGGGGAACGAAAGCCGCCAGTTTCGGTCGCCTGCGCGGACTGCTGGTTGGAACGACATGCAACAACGTTGCGAAAGGACCAGTTCGTCGCGAAAGGCGGCTCAAACTGGCGGCTTTCGTTCCCCTACCCTTCGTAATCTCTTTGAGTGAGCAGTGAAGTCATCAAAGCACTTTACTAGTCAATAAATACTTTGAATGAAAAGTATATCACAATTGCTTGTTTGGGGCCTAGTAGATTTTAGCAACTCATTTTATCCCAAATGCATATTCAATTTTTGCTCCAATTAGCGTTCATAACTCCTCCTCCACAAACCCTTCGCCATAAGGTAAGCAGGTATGGACAGCCTGTTATGCTGTTTTTTTTTCTAGTCGAAATGCCCTTTTAGGTGGGATGTAAACGTGCTACTGCAGCATCGTTTCTATCCCACCTAAAAAACGGCGTACCGACCGAACATGTTTCCTTTGTCAGTATAGCAAACCGCTGGAAACAGACGCATTTCAACTGGCTGAATGCGGACGTGTATACACAAATTTTTCGAAACATAAAGAAGAACTCTTTGCTTTCAATAGGTGTGTCTTACTGTATTTGCGCATTAGTCGTATTTCGAATGGTAATTGCTATTGGTCACTTACAGTAATGCGCCCAGGATGGATGGTATGTATGTGGCTGAACAAAGCATCAAGTATTGGAAAAAGAGGAAACAAAAGTATTTTCATCTATGGAAGGTAAGAAAAACAAAATCTGATAGTAGGTAAGTCAATATCTGGCTCCTACTAAGATAGTAGTTGGCGACTTCCAGCTACTATCTACTGTTTCAACGAAGCAGAAACAATGCGACGAGAACTAGCGTAAAGCTCTCGCCAAAGTGCCGAAGCTACGCCAGCGCAGAGCCAGTGCTGAGCTAGCGCCGAGCTGTCCTGGCGCTTTCGATCGATACATTTCGAGGGGCGGGGCTAGCTGACCCTGTGCCGGCAAAGCGCTACCGGAGCTTTTGACAGAGATTTCGATCAATATCGGTGCCAGGGTCAAGCGTGTTGATGCGATCTGGGACCCTCACTTACGACCCCCCCCCCCCTGAAGGTACCCATCCGTACGACCCCCGCCCCATCTACCCCCCGCCCCATCTACCCCCCGCACCATCTACCCCCCTTACCTCCCTGCCCACATTCCTCGCGGTAACCTGCATAAACGAATGTCAATCTCAAAAAATACCTGCAGAACTTCAATGAGGTTCCGGAAGCAGAACTTCTAGGCCAATGAGTGCGCCCAGCATCTGTAGCACATATACACACCTTCAATAATGTTTGAGATTCTGCAAGTTTTTTTTGAATTTTCAGGCATACTCAGGGCAGCGAATTCGGTTCCCGTATGCGACACAAATTTTTGCACCGAGAAAAAAAATAACATTCTTGAACTACAAAGGATGTTTTCGACTAAGAAGCTTACTTTCTACCTCTTGCACAGTTTTTTCCGCGAAAAAAACCGCTTTAGCGCCGTCCAGAACGATGTCAAAAACGTGCTTGAGCACGGTAGTTTGAAAATTCGTAACTAAGGCCAGGAAAAGATTGAGAGGCTGCAATGAACAGGTCCTGTAGCATAGTGCCCAGACTATTTACAGAAAAAGTTTCAGCCCTTGAGAAGCAGTGAGCTCGAAAAAATTTAGATGCGACTCTCACAAATTTAGATGCGATCCTAAAAATCAAAAACTGGGATTTTTAAGCTTGAAAATTTGTAACTCATCGGAGAAGTAATGAAACGGCCTGAAATTTTCAGGATAGATAGTAGGAGGATGGCCTCGTATTATAACAAAATTACAGCCAACAAACTTCGATAGCTCCGAAAAAATTTAGATGCGACCCAGATACGACCCCCCTTTCGTCATTTTTTGCCACCATACATAAAATCATAAGAAAATCCGAAGGCTATAAAGTAGGACCAAATTTTGCACAAATGTAGTAGAGCACCTCTCAAGTACATATAAATTGTAAGGACCGTATGAAAAGCATTAGAAACAGATTTACAAATTATCGATGATTAGCGTTGATAGAAATATGCTCTTTTTTCGAGTGTGTGAGTCTTCAGTGAGTCTTCGGAAGCAGGACTTATGCACCATTCGGTACATCCAACATCTTTATCACACATCCATGCCTTTAGTAGCATATGAGCTTCTAAAAGTGTTTATTTTTTGAGTTTTAGTCATGCAGGGTTCGATCCCCGTTTGAAACAATATTTTGCGGGAGAAATAGTGTTTCCCATAGAAAAAAATGAACTAAGTCATAATCTTTCAAAAGTGCAGCGAATGAAGCGGATTTCTACGTTTGCAAATGTTTTTTAATTATTGTTCACTCGTTCTGACTTGATACATTGGTACACGGCATTCCACGAATTTATTGTTAAGAACATGTAATAATTATTTGCCACTCGATTTCCTTCCATGCTTTCGGGTTTTTATCCAAATTACCTCCTTTTACGACCCCCCGCCCTCACCGTTACCCCGCTTACGACCCCCGTTGCGACAGTCGCATCACACGCTTGACCCTGATCGGTGCATTTACCTGGCTGAGAACTGGTCAGCTATCCCCAGCGCGGCGCCAGCTCGACGCTGGCTCTGCGCCGGTGCAGCGCTGGCGTGCTTCGGCACTCTAGCGAGAGCCTAAGCGGAGCATACGTAGCATAGTATGATAGAGTCGCATACGCGTCAGAGTCGAAACAGAGAAGAAGTAAGCACGGAAAAGCTATGCTCATCTCTTGTCTGTACTCTTCGTTCAAAAAAAATTTCATTTATTCAAACGAGAAAACTTACTGTTGCTTGCAGCGTTTCCATTTTATTTGAATTATGGAATTTTTTCAGAAAATAAGCAAATTATCCAGAGTGGAATGTGGATTTGACTACAAGAGACTGAAAGTCTTAATGGTGTGTTTTTTTTTAACTAAACCGTCTCTACATGATGCTTTACTATGTCGCTAGCTTACGAAAAAAGACACAGTGGTGATGAATGCTGACATGTCCTTTGTTCTCCAGCGATGGTCTCATAGGTAATCTCGCAAGTTCACTCCTCTGCCTTCCGCTCCTTTACACGTTTACCTCAAGCAGTCGACTTGGTTTTTGAAGAAACCAGTTAAAAAGCAAAAACAGCTAAGTTACGCTTGCAAATAGTTGTATCGCAGACTCCTAGAAGTATACCAGGGGGAGCATTGTAAGTATGATCACGCGTACATGGCGATTTTGATGGCTAGAGAGTACTAAAAGTATCGTTATAGAAGGGAGATTCAACAAATTCTTAATGTGTTCATAGGCCTGCAAATGCTCCGCCCGCTGTACTTGTGGAAGTCTCCTATGTCCATAGTCATCCTCATCCCAGAAGACACCTGGAGCATATATAGGCGATTCTCATGTGTATAGCAGGAGTCGCCCTGCAAACATCTGAACAACGTTGGAGAACTTTTGAACCTCCAATATAAAGCATTAGTTTTTGTACTCTCCCGCTGTCAAAAGCTGCCACGCGCATACCAACGTATGCAAAATTCCGCCCGCTATGCTGTGAGGAATGGACGGTATCAATTTCCCGTTCTGATAGGTGTTCCCGTACAAGTGTAGTCCAGTCAGACGCGGGCGCCTAAGACCCATGATATGCGAACGTGGGCGCCTGACGTGCAAGAGCCCGGTCAGGCAGAATAAAGTGGGCCTACAATGACTAGACTACCCGATCTCGTTTGTTTATGAATTGTGCGAAGAAGCGCGTCTATTCGATTAGGTCACCAAAAACAGTATCGAAAAATCCAATCACCAATCATCGAGTAAGATTTAATAATAATTATCTCGCAAGAGATTTGTCTGATTTTACATTTGATTTGATTTGATCTTAAGATTTACAAAAGATTCAGAGCCCGGATTGGAGAGGTCAGACTCTGCAACTCCTGTAAATTTCATAAAATAATTTCCTGTCTCGAGAAGATTATCAATGTGCACTCCTCCTAATAAATTTACAGCCTGTTTCCTCAACTCAATCATGCGATGTGAGCATGCCGAACTTTGATAGGATCATGTCCCTCGATCTTTCTTTAAGTCTGAGCAGTCTAATCGCGATCTGCCCGCATGCCCCTAACAATACTAATTTTTACAATTTGAGCAATGGCGAACTCACCTTTGGTATTTCCTGCAACTTTGATATATGGTACCGGCTTTGATGCCTCGAGGAAAGTCTCCGGTTGCCCTTGTCCACAAACAATAGATCAGAATCGCCTTTGCCACCTATATTTCTGATGATAACAAAGAATCATAGAATTCTATGAAATGCATCGTTTCATCTGACCTCTGCCTCGCCAAACACAAAAACTTCTTTCGCAGTGTCTTCTTCGGTTGCGATACTCAAGGTGTTGGTGGAAGCTTCTCGTAAAATATAATATAAGAAAGCTTTCGATGATTTCTCGTTTCTTTTTCTGATCGGCTTTATCTCAAAGCATTCAGAGTCTTTGAATAAATGTGCAATTACCAAGCTGTGCAGAATATAATCATCGTAAAAGAACATTCATAAATGATTTTGAGACAGTCATCGATCTTTTGGAACTTCTTGTTTGTCAGCGGACGTGTGAAACCATGTGGCTAGCACGAGTGAGAACAGTTTTTCGCTTATTTATGCCGTGATTTTTGACTTACCGCTCCTTTTCAAAAATAGTATTTGAGTCAGTATAAAACTCTGGTGCAAACGCTCGGAATCCTTCTATGATATAAGAGCGAATTGTTACCTCTATATGGAATGTGTTGCATGTGGTTGGTTGCTCTACTGGTGTTGTTTTGTCAATCATTTTCGTTTGAGCACGAAGCTTGTTATTGTTAATTTGTACGTTGGTGGAGAATCTTCTTCGGAGAGGATGCATTTTCATATTTCGAAATCTAAAGCACTGTCAAGTGACGAATCCAGACTTTCAGCTCGCTCCATTCACTGTATAGAGTTCCGAGGTTTTAAGACTCCACCACTTCAAAGAGAATTCCAAGGCTCTCAGAAAACTGAGGTTTATCTGATAGGAGAAGCAGGGGTTGTCGAAGAAGTTTTGCTTTGCTGCTGGCTAAAAGGCCTTCAGTGCCAAGATGTATTTGCTGTATTAACCAGATATACCGAAGAAATGATGTAATCCTGGTAGGAAACTGAGGATTGTTTAAAGGCAGCGGCTCGGCAGAATGACAACATTCGGATATTCATCATTCTCGGTTCCCCTGGACGAGCTAAGTCCAAGACTGTGCTTTGCAGCTTCAAAAGATATCAATCCGCTTTCAGACGTAAAAAGCGTTATTTGAGGGCGGACCGCGTATCTGCCCTCTAGAGCGTGATTGGCTCGTGAGTGGAGATACTGTACCCACCGTACCCTCAAGCCAATCGCGCTCTAGAGGGCAGATACGCGGTCCGCCCTCAAATAGTGTTTTTTACGTCTGGAAATGCGGGTTATTGATATCTTTTGAAGCTGCAAAGCACAGTCTTGGACTTAGCTCATCCAGGAACCGAGATAAATATCCGAAAGTTGTCATTCTGCCGAGCCGCTGCCTTTAAGAGGTTCTGCATCACTTCTAAATGGCAACCGTGAATTCGGAGCCACCGCATGGAAATATACAAATTTAAATTCCGGTACTTGACAGGGAGCTGAGCGGGATTTAAAGGGTACCGTGTCCTTCTGGAGGGGATTCTTCTGCTTCTTGTAAATTTGGCATATACCTGAGAGGTTCCGCTCTGATTCTGAAGAGAAGTCTTAGATTTCGGACCATAGCATGGCATTTTAGAAGTCTAAAATCGTACCACCTTTGTAGGAGGAATGAGGGATGTTTGATAGGTGAGTCTGGAGGGGATTTCGCAAGCCTTGACAAAAAAGAAATGAGGAATCATAGTACCAGATGAAAGAATTGCATTATAAACTAACTTTGGATTTATCAGTTGCATTCATCGATTGGAGCTGAAAAAGGAGGTAAGTGAACATGCTAATCACAAATACAATATTCATCCTCAAAATTAATGCCTTTGATTCCTTGCAAACATTGAGGTGGGGCGCGAGAGCGTACAGGGGGAGGGGGTAAAGGGTGCTGATTACAAGAACAAAGGGTGGTAGGGAATTGGCATAAGAAATGGGACAGGTAGGGGAATGTTCTATAGAAGTAAGCAATGACAATTTTTATCATAATGTATAGACAGCGCAATCTTGGTAGTTTATGTATATGCAAGATGATACCAGCAAAAATTTTAGGCCCCTTTAGCGCATCTGAAAGCCACTTATATGTTTTAACACGTTTAGACCCTTTTGCTTTTACCCCAAAAACGAAGTTCAGTTTGACCCAAACCATCTGTGCTGGGCCACGCTATAAAGCACTTCTTTCTTTCCGAAATCCGCATTATCCATTTGTTGACGAAAGTGCCGCGCAATGGTCGGTAGTGACCCAAAAGTACTGATAATCGTTTCACTTTTTGTTTCTGCAGTCAACTGAGCCAGATGTGATTTACATTGGCGCGCTCCTCTTGGCAATCTCCGCCCACTTCGATATCCCCTAGGATCCCCCTTATGCAGAAAAATATGAAAGAGTTAGCGGACGACTGTCCAGTCACTAGCCCAAAAATATGTGCAATTTTGAGAAATACTGGCCAAGTGAACGGAGTTTCACAGGAAGGGGGCTGGCATATTAGCACATCTGCGCATAGATGCATACATCACACATACGTCGCAAAAATGCTTAAAATAACGTCTAGTTCCACGAGACAGACATGGAAAAAATAACGTACTCAATCTCAAATGTTTTTGTAAAGCTATAGCATTGCAACATTCTGCTGCAACAAAAAACTGTCTCGCTATGAAAAGGGAAAACCATTATTTGCTCTCAGATGCATTTCAATTCATTACCTTTTTGAACCCTGGTTCACTGAATTCTCAAGGACTTATTCAACCTGAATAGATCCTATGTTCCTCTGAGTCTTCGCGACATTTACGATCAAGGGTATTCGAATAAACTTTGTCTTATTGTATAGCGTCTGCCTTGCACACTGTTGCTCTTGTGACAAAATAGCTGACATACTTTTCATCTAAAGCCCTTGGGAACTGCAAGTGAAGTGTTCGCGAGTTTCCCATTTCCTCTGTACTCGAACACATACTTCAGAACGTATCAAAGGCTTTGAGAACTTTTCCAGGTGATTCTAGCGAAATTTTGGTAAAACCCTTGGGAAGTTCCCGGCCGTTGTCTGAAACACCGAGTGTTCGATATAACGCCAAAATAAAGCGAACTTTCACCGTTGATATATGAGAGCAAAAATGCCGAAAACTTCTCCAAGTATTTTCTATCACTCATTTCCAATACAAGATTATAATGTAACTCACGTATTCTCTTCGTACCATTAGACAACGAAATCCTCAGATAAGTTTGACCGATTAGGATTCACCAAACAGAATTTGCGAAAACATTGTAAACAGGGCTCGGCACGAGGTGGCTTTTAAAAAAATGCAAAAAACGAAGTCCCCCCTGACTTTCCCAAAATTTTACGAATTCCTTTTTGACCCTAAAACATAATTCTAGAAATTTTCCAAAAAACGAAACGTCGACCGAAAACGTCGCAATTTTTGTGTCTTTACGGCCACAAAAACGAAACCCCCTTTGCTTTTTGTCCCAAAAACGATATCCAGCTTGCTTACCAAACCACCTGTACCGAGCCCTAATTGTAAACGATTAATTTAGTCACTGTATATATAGAAATTCAAGTGGTGTCCAGCGAATTTCACACAGCTAAATTTCGGCTAATACACGGCTTTGAAGGAAAGCGATAGAACTGTTCATCAACAAGATATACGTTATGCCTCAAGATCTACTGTAAATCACACTTTCTCGCGTAATTCCGAAATCGCACTTTCTCGAGTAATTCCGAAATCCCGCGTTTTCTTGGTCTGGAAGAATATTTTTCCAAGGCTTTTTCCCCCCCCCCCCCTAGAAGTTAGGATTTATTTGTTTCCAATTTAGCATATCGCACTCTGAAGACCGCACTGCTTCCGAAGATTAACTTCCTCCACTGCTCCACAGCTGTCCGAAAAAATTTGATGCTCGAAGCTCATCTAATCAATTTGAATATTTGAGCTAATTTGGTATGAGCCATGCAATTCAGCAATTCTTAGACTACCTAATGATTACTATAAAGTTTCTGTAATACATATAAAGAATTTCGGACTTCGCAAATTGTATAAAAGAACTTATTGTTCTTGTGACGCCTCAATAACATCTGAAAAGATTGACGCGCTCATTTCACAGCGAGAGACAGATGGCAGACGATCGTTAAAGACGTTGAAATGGTCTTTATGTGAAGCAAAACATTCTCAAGATAGCCCAAGAATCGATATGGTTTCTGATATGAGAAACAGATATCTTGACTTTGGTTTCACAGTGCTATGTAATCACAAACACTCCCTAGTTAAAAAATAATTTCTCGACGCCTTATTTACTAAATTTTGGTAAGAAATCAAGCTGTATTACAAGCACTTCTGTTTTCATCATGACCGCACGAAAAGTGCAGCTCTAAACCGGGCGATTTCCGCTTGTCCCCCCCCCCCCCCCTCCTAGCAGTCGGGATGAAATCTGCAATTCAATTTCTTTAACACGTTGACGGCGAGCCATTTTTTTGCGGTCTGTCCCTCTGGACGAGACGTGTCCATGCATCCCTACGCGTGGCCCATGTATGTATGCATGCATCCATGCACGAAGAACAAAAGTCCAAGCCCCGCCCCCTCTGGCAAGCTCCGCCTACTCGACCAAAAATGTCGGAAATTGCCCAAATTTCAAGAATTTATGCGATTTCCGCCACTTTTGAAAAGTGGGCGGAGCTTGCCTGACGGTGGGCGGGGCCTGGCTAAAGTTGCTTGAAGTTTTTGCGTTCATCTACAGCCTCTTCCATGCTTTTTGTGGACAAAAAGGATCCTTGTGAGAGGCATAAAAGTGGGCGGAGTTTGCCAAAAGGGGCGGGCTAATACATGAAGTACATTGGCCTATATTGATTACATGAACAAAAACTGAGAGGATTGGACGGATAGTATTGAATTTAAGGCCGCCGAGCACCATTGCGCGGCACTGTCGTCAACGTGTCAATAAGAAGGCAAGTTATCTTCTTAGATCTTACATAGCAAAGCAGATGGCGCCTGAAAGCCGCTTTTAAGGAAAAAGATGAAGCAAAAGATTCCAATAAGCAACGATTTCGTCGAGGAAAATACCTTAGACACCAATTGCAGGAGGATCCACAAAACCATAGCGTGGGAGCTACAGATTTCGTAAGAGTAGAGGGTCGAAAATTATTGAATAGTCCAAGTATCCATATGCTACTTGACCGTCACCATAAAGGCAAAAAGGCATCCCCCAACTGCTTTTATGACCCATCATTGTTAAGATTAATATTTTGTATGTGTAATGTAACATATTTGTGCAGATACCGCACCCTTTAAACGCACAGCTATAGTCTGAGAATGAGAAGTATTTGTATACATTGGTCACTGTTTATAAACAATCTTGCATACTTGGAACATTTGCGCTCAAATGATGGGAATGTGTGCTGTAGACCATTTCCGAAAAATTCCAAACCAAATGTGGAGTTCACAAGCGTGACGTTTAATTCTGCGCGGATGATATCGTTACTGTAAGGACACGAACCAACCGTCAAACTTACCACATTACAGACTGATTTTCTATTGAAAACGCCAGTACGTAGTTATACAATTATCAGAAAAATCCACACTCGGCTACTGAATCTTGACAGGGTTGGCTTTAAATGTGTCTCATGACAATTACAATTTTGTGCAAACGGGTCGGCACCGGAAAAGCGCTACCTTCGACATCAAATCTAGTACAGTCTGAAATATTTTTCGCTCAATATAGTGCGCTTGCCATGATGTTGCGGTAAAATCTGTTTGTGAGAATATATCTAATAAGGGAAGCTACCTACTTGGTTCGCCCTTTTGGTAAAAGGCATACATATTCTAAATCAGCTTCAAACACTGATTCCAAATATGCTTTTTCTAGCTGTCACGCACCATTCCGAAGCGAGTTATGGGCTTTTCCTACGCAAGAACATGAGAAGACTGCCTGAAGATAAAAATTTGCAAGAAAAAGATGCTGAGGCATCGAAATAGTACAAATTCAATCTTTTCTCATTGAAAAGAAGATTAACGTAAATGTATTAGCACTTAGGTGATGATGCCGTGTTGCCAGTGAGCCAATGAGAGGCCAATTTTGCGCAAGAAAAAGCCCGTAACTCGCTTCGGTATGGTGCAATGGCAGCTAGAAATAGCATATTTGGGATCAGCGTTTGAAGCTGATTCAGACTATATATGTCCCTTGCCAAAAGGAGCTAAGTTAGGTAGCTTCCCCTGTAAGTATAGTGCTCGCTACCTGCGCGCAAAATACAGGCACTGGCGTGGCTATTTGTTCACGCGAATTTACCGCAAAATCTCGACACCGCAAGCAGACTATATTAAGCGGAAGAATCACTAAACTGCAGGTGAATGCCGAGACCTTAGCCAATACAGCACTTATAGCACTATCAGAGACAGGCCCATCCCGATATTTTATTTGTTTATTTTACTTCACTGATTACTTTCATTGATAGCAATTAAATTTTACAACAATCATTCTTATGACATTTTTGCCGCATATCCATCATTCCTGATAGTCTCTCCAGTAATTCTCCATTAACTGATTATGTACAGATACAAAACTTTGAGAAGCATAAACAACATTTTTATTTTTCATGAACCAGCGTTTTCCTTATTTGTTACAAACACAGCGGTATACTCGAACATAGTATTTTGATCCAATCGTTGGGTGGTATGGTCCAACAGATCGTTTATTTTTAAAAAAATTTCAACGCTTTGCAAAACTCTATAATCTACACTTACATTGGCTGTCCTAGGCTATGAACTGTGAAATGCAGTGATTTATTCATAATAAATTCTATGGTAAAATCCAATACCCAAGAAAGCTATTTCATTCATTCGTACACGGTATGATGATTGCAAGTATGTGGTATGGGATGGAAAACGTCGAAACGAATGAATTATCACAGTAGGTATGTCGCTAAAAAAGAGAGGTGAACACACATTTTATAACCAAATAGATGATGGTATTAACAGTGGCCAGAAGACAGCCTGACTGTTGGAATAGTTTGACGAAAGGCACAGAATATATACAAAATGAACAAGAGAATGTGAGAGAGAGGGAGAAGGGTAAAGCCGGGCTCTATCTATCGCACAACTACCATTCAAGCAGTTTTAAACATCCCCTCTTGGATGGCGTTGCAATAAATATGTTCCCTTACACCCATAAGCGACGACAACTAACAAGTGGACAATAAATTCTAGCCAACACGGCAGCGGCGTTGTCAATACATGCAATACTGCAGCGGACGATTCTGACTCGCACTTCGAAATAACGACATATGAAAAATCTATAAAAACGATTATATAGTGGAAGTGCCATTTTAGAGGCAGTGGATCGAAATTACTTTTTCCTACAAGATAGTCTATACGTCAACCTCTACTTCTCTCGTAATACATCACTCAATACCAATTTACTACTCCCGTAAAGACTCCATTCACGAGACCTTTTTAATCCCACTACAATCGAAAAACCTTGATTGAGGTTTAGCAAATGACCGACAAATGTTCAAATCGACGCTGTGTTTCACATTCCTGCAAATCTCTTCTGTTTACCCAGCCATCTCAAAAGCCAGAATTCACAAAGCTGGCGACGAAATGTCGCAATGTTATTTTCAATCTCAATAACGACTGAAAAAATCAACAAAAAGCAATTTGCTCTCGTAAGTAGTATATGAGATTCAGGGAAGTGAGAATACCCAATTTCACACAGATTCTCCGACGTCAGACAGCTGTAACAAACAGTACTACATGCTCACAAACTATCATCATCTCCTTTCAAAACTGATGACAGAAACATCATAGCCAATATTGTGCTCCCTGCTTGAAGATGGAATGCAAAACGTTAACGCAGCGAATTGAAAAAAGAATGCAAAGACATCGCTCATTTCGCACAACAAAAGCCTGGATCCCGACGAATTATATCAAAAAAGACTATTTTTTTGCATGAAAGCATAGCCAAACAGGCATAAATTCAGGCTACAGCATTCTGCCATGTACTCAAATATAAAATGGGTAAACTTTTTGATAAGTGTCATATGAAATCTCTTTGAACCCTAAGTAGGCACCAGCAAATGGGAAACATCTGCTATTCTCAAACATTACTTTCGGTGGAAAACGATAGACGTAACGACTAGCCAATGTGATCAATAATGTTATAGGGACGTCTGCACCGGGTACGAAAGTTCCATGCCCTTTTAGACCCACGTGGTAGACATGATGGAAGTATAAAATAATTGACACTCACCATCTTCACTTGCTGAACGCTTCGAAAACTGCCCACATCACTTCGTTTCCTTTCTTCTCAGCCTGTACATCGTATTCCAATTCAAGCAAAGATCGTACTCTCTTCATGGCAATCTAAATCAGACGAAACTGATATTGTTGTGGAAGTAGAATTACGGTCTCCACATGCTGTATTCGAACAAATTGCACAACGCTTCTACACCAGTAAGAATTGGGAAACTGTTACGTCAATATCATGAAACAAACCTCGTAGTCCTGATCACTCAATGGTGCAAATGCATTTTCAAGTACATCGGAAGCATGAGCTAATATTATAAGAGAAAGCATCTTCTTATCCATTCGATGAACATCATTTGTCCATTTACCCAAGACGGCATCTTGCACTTCCTAGATAGCCGATAACATTTTTAGATAAGCAATGATAAGGAGAAGTTGGCAATAACTTGATAGACTAATTGTACAGAACGAAAGTCACACCGACCTTGATCAATTTCGTCTTTTGATTGCCGTCAGAGAGAGGATGTGTTGTTATTTCAAAAAGTAGAAAGTTCTGTTTATCCGTAGTGAGTACGCCTTTCTCAACTAAATTTTTAGCTAATCTTTCGCGGACATTGCGGAGCTGATATCGCAACTTGAGCGGGTTCCAAGTCTAAAAACACTTGCTTAGATATGGAAAATACTAACAATAAGAAATAGAAATCTCACCTCTCCACTAAGATATTCAATCCAACTAGTCACCGTTTCAGGTGGATTGGTTTCTTTCATGTGTCTAAGAGCTTCATCAAGAATAACATCACCGGTTGGCTCGCTGTTTTTAACAGTGACCTGTGGAGGCAAGATTGCCCTACGGTGAGAAAACTGCAAAAAAAGGTACCTTCCTGGTCAATAGCGATTTCTTACGCATTCCGCTGCTTTCAAGTTGAATTCTACCACGTATAGCTAACTCGATCAAAACGCATCCACGTAATCCAGAAGAGATGCAATCATTCCAGAATGAAGTGTAGCCCTAAAGAAATTGTTGCATATAGCACATCCATTCTCCTTGTGAAAGGCTACATTATAGTGACCATGGATGAAGGAAGACAGAGCAAGCAACACACCACCTGTGATTTTGTGCCGGTCAAAACAACAGGTTACTGCTGGACGAAGGCGTAAAATCTATGGAGCCTCAACGCGATTTTATTAGCGCGGACCGTGAGGAGCAGAGTTTAAACGGTGAAGACACATACGCGTTGTGTTCAAGCCTGCTCAGCTGTATTGCTTTTGCGCCTTCGACCGGCAGTAGAATTTAGCAGCCTTATGAGAGCATTACTTATCTCAACGCATTAAGACAAGGAACATGAAGATAAGCAACTGAACTGATAAGTGCCAATGTTGACGGAGAAATCATAAAACAGTATGCAGTTTTTACAACAGCAAGATAAAAGCTGGCGCTAAATTGCATTGAGATAATACAAAAGAAAAACCCCAAGCTTATCTGTGGCTTGTGCAGAAAAAAATCTAGAAAAGGCAAGACCATCTGCATAAACAAATGTTGTGTTCGTGCTGAATAATTTATACTCTTTTATGCAACGTGGGATTCGTGATAGAAAACATAAACTAGTTTTGTGCCTCTATGAGAGTACTGGCACAACAAAAACAACACAAAGCTCGCTATCATCCTTCGTAGACACAAAGGTTTCCGGTTACTGGATTAGCGCTTCTCACATGTCGAAAGGAAAGAAAAAGTAGAAATGAGCAAATGCATCAAGACTGAGTAAAATTCTAATTTCAAACCGATTTCTTCCCCTGTTCTGTTGTGACAAAGCATTAAAAAGAGATGTTAAGTGCAAAAACCAAAATTCCATACAAGTAAAATTTGACAGTCCGTTCAGTAACATTTATGAAAAAATAGAACCACTAGCAAAGTAATGCCAAAGTACTTCAAAAATAGAGTCTGATACTCACTTCTCTGTCTTTCAATCCTAGCAAAAGGATTTGCTCCATCAGCGTAAGACGAGTGGACTTATCATTGTCCTCCTGCGATTAGAAACTGCTTACAATGCTTAGAAAGGGCAAAAATAATACGACCTGATCTGAAGACGCGGCTGAGTCAGCATTCTCATCGCTGCGATCAGCTGTTGGCTGAAATGAATAAGTTAAAAAACACTATACAACGTCAATTTTTGTGATGCGGCGCCTTATGTTCGCAGCCAAAAGTACATGCACTTTTTTGCAACCATAATGAATACAGATACGTGTAAGCGATATTGAATTGGCGTGGACTTCGCGCGATGGTTATCCAAAACGAGTGGCGATCGCTTGACATATATAGATGGTTATCAAAGCAGGAACAACGCACTCCTCAATGCTTAATGCTAAGTCTTTGCAAAAATCTGATGAAAAGGCAATTTCAAGCTCAATTTTATGCATAAAAGTGGCATTGAAGAGTAGGTAAAAGTACTTTAAAAAGGCCAACCTCTGGTTCCGGTTTCCTCCTCCGCTGCACCACCCCATCTGACATGATTAAAAGACAAAATGTCCAACAGGATGTGACTAAAAATTAAGCAGCTATTTCGGTAACGACCAGTTCCCTGCAAGACTCTGATCAAAAATAGAAAAAGAGCTATAAAGATGTGATCATTAGTGAAACCAGTAAGAACATGATGGAAATACAGGATGGAAAAATGGAGGTTCAGAAATAAATTAGCTACAAATTCACAGCATAGGCGACAATCACATCAAAACCTGCAAATCAATACGAACAACACCACTTTGCAAACAGAAATGGTGCTTTCTGAACTACTATGATATGCGAGATATGGAGAATTACAAAGAATAACTAGAAAGATGTCAAGAAATCCCCGAACTTTTCATTCATTATGCAGCAGCCTCTGATTCCTAACCTGCCTTTCCTTAAAAACTTAATAAAAATGAAGCCCTCCCACAACTCCCTTTCATAAATGTTGTTTACGAAAACTAGAAAGTGATCGAGAATCGGCAACAAGTCAAACAAGCTCGTAACGATGCGAAGTAGGCCAAAAAACCAGGAATACTTGGCGCAGACCGCACCGAGGCCTCCGACATCCATCGATGGATCCATAGCCGACCGCAGCGCAGCCGCACCGTGCCCGCCGCCAGCACGTGGAATTCTCCGCTCCAGGACCGCCGCCGCGGCCAGCTTGCTGCCGCCGGCCGCTTCAGATGCTTTTTGGCAATTTTTCGATTCAAAGCATTTTCGGCGGTGCAGGAGGGGGGCCTACACATGGTTGGTTGGAGTTACTTCTGTCGCACTTTTGGTTGTGGCAGAGAGAGCTGTCTGCGCTTGACGAAAGGATTCTCTACTGCTTCTTCAGCCGCAAAAGCCCAACGCAGACAGTGATTTTGCTTTGTTTTAACGTATCGTGTTTGTAGCTTTTATTATTCTCTATGTTCAAATCTATCAAAGCGCCAAGCGTCTGTCTTTTCGTGCGTGTGTGTGTCCATCTGTCGCGAAATTCATAGAGGAAGCTGCATCCAAGCTATCGAGCTAAAATTTCGCATAACTTATTACCTTATCAGCATGTAGGCGCGTCATGCACAAGGACGAGCCATTTCGATAAGCGGGCACTTTAGAATTTGCGCGTCAAACGGGTCCACGCGGCTTCTGGCGCGCAAAACTAGGTCAAAACTCAACTTTTTGCAAAGCCATGATTTGGTTGACAAGTAAATCTGCGCTCCATGAATTCTAGCTCAAAAAGTGCTCAAAAGTTTGCTTTTCTGCGGAAACAGCGCCAAAAAGTAGTGATCGCTCAGGAAGTCGATCTGGCAAGGATTTACCTAAAAAACTGAAAACATTTTGCACGGAAATGTAGCCCAAAATGAATATTATCTTCATGACGATTCTTAAATCAAAATAAGTCCAGTAAACTATTTAAATCCGCATTTGTTTCTTGGCAAAAAAGTTTTCTTTCTCAAATTTACCGATCTTACATGGAGATGCATAAAGAATGAGAAATTGTTCACAATTTATTTGTGATGTACAGCTTCGCGCGGTGAATTTCAAAGTCATCATTATGGGAGCACGAGGAAGGCATACGGATAGCAGAGCCAGTGCGAACCTTTGCAAATACAATGGTTCATATTTGTTATCGTTAGAAAAGAATGAAAGTGTAGTCTACTTCAGTTTAAAGAAATGGGAGTAAATAGGTTGGTATCTAGCTACTGATTGCAGTCGTTTTTATGTCCCGAGAAATGTAGCAGACAGGTTCTGCATGTGAGGAAAATGATGGGCTAAATGGTATGATACAAAATGCTTTTGTTTATGTAAACAAGCTGGTTAAATACAGTTGTGACAGTTTCAGTCTTGTGGTCCGTTCTCTCGCTAAAGGCTTCTCTGATAGCAGATACGATATGATTTGAGGTGTCGTTGGAAAGAGTAGTTCCCTTTGAGTGACACATTTTGTGGCGGCAAAGTGAGGAAGTGGGATACCTATAAGCTTCCGGAAAATCGTACTTCAAAATGCGATATTAATTTTAATAGAAAGTGTGGGCCTGGTACACTTGCATATGATTTTATAATCTTCAGTTATCACTATGGTCATAATTGATTAATTTAGGCGCTTCGGGATGTCCGAAAACTGGCATACGCGCACAAATGTAAGAAATTCTCACATTTTTTGATAAGTATTAGGTTGGAAACTAAGTTTTGCAACTGGTTTCATAACTTCCTTCTCACTCAACATGGCGCACTCAAATTTTGCCGCTGCGTTGGTTATTACGTAAGCTACAAGCGCAGCTGCTGTCCTACCAAATTCTGACGTCGCAGTGAGGGTTACGGTAGGTGCATGGTATGAAGGGGAAAAATTCAAAGTTTGACGGATTTGGCTGAAACTTGGCATAGGGGTGTTATGCGACATGCTGATCGTGAAAACGATGGTGAAATTGCGTGGTAAGGGCTTTTTTGTAGGATTACTGTAGGTGTACGATATGGGGTCTTACCCTAAACAAGGAAAAAGGCATTGATTCAACAAATGAATGTGATATTCGCGTTTGGCAGATTAAATAACCTTACTATGTAAAATCTCGGCGGAATTTGAGCTTACTCCTTAGTCATTGACGGTCGTCCCCAGCAGCTCTTGCGTGCATCGACTCGTTCGACTTTATGAGGACGTCGAATCTCGACATGCCCCTAAATTTTGTTTCTTTCTCAATAGGCCAAAGAAGTCAACCTCCAGCAATAATTCATAGACGAATCCGGATTACTGCGCATGGTCTAGGCTGCCAAAAGCTTCATTTTAGCTTGAAACCCCAAAATTTCTCAAATTTCACTAGCTTTCGAAAAACGCCCGAAACTTTTTTATTTCGTGTTCAAAATTTAGACTATTTGTGCTCGCTTGTAGCTCACATCGCCTTCTACATAATGCCAAAGTTTGAGTGCGCCATATCCAAAGGGAGTGAAGTTATGAAACCAGTTGCAAAACTTAGTTTCCACGCTAATAAATTCACAGATTGCGATTACAGCTCTAATTGTGATTCGCGTAGCTAGAATATGTGTATATACAGTGACCGCCAAAAAGTTGCGGACAAGCCTCCCTCCCTTTTTCATCGCTCTTTTTCAGAGGGAAAACAAGGATGAAAAAATGTAATGATTGCATGAGGTGATAGAGCTCTTCAAGATCTACAATCTACACTTTGAGTTTTTCGAGAAACTTGTGTTCTAAAAATTTTAAGAATCTTTTTCTAAAAAAGTTCGGAAATGGCCGCGTCACAATGTGGTGGACAATAAGTCTTCGAACGCAAAAATTTTCTTTTGAGTCCTATTTTAAAGCGGAAACACAGGTTATCCGGACGGGTAAGCATACTGCTAGACAGAGCTTGTCAAGAACTATACACTGGTTATGGTTGCTTCCTCAAAGAACGCAAGCTTGAGTTTTATTTTAGTTTTTTCAAAAAACAACTTCTAATTTCCTTTATCAAGCCAAATTTCTTCACACGTAAACCTGTTCAAGACATCCCAACAAAGCCGTCTGGATAAAATAGATGCTCTTTGCCATCTTCTATGCATCGGACGTGTGCTGATGAGTTTCTTGGCTGAAAATGGCCCTTAGCAGTGCTTGCACATGACCCCACCTGCATCTCACCACTGACTTGTACCGCTTTTCAGGCTTGTAACTCGGCCTGAAGTCAATATTTGAGCCTGCAATTAGACTCATTCGAAAAAACAAGACTTCCTCTACACTGTGGTATGCAAATGAGTTGAGTTTGAGAAATTTCAGAGATTTGGCGGATGGGGTAGTAGAAGGCAGCCTTAGAGGTGATTGGAGTGAAAGCTCTTATGAACACCAGAGCAGCCTTAGAGCTTCGAAATGGATCTATTACAAGAAAATTGACAGTTTTGAACTTCCAGGATAAAACTGGTAGCGAAAGGAGCTCTCTTCAACTTTAGCTGAAAAGTGCTTAGACTACAACTGAAGCTGCCTTCTACCACCCCATCCGCCAAATCTCTGAAATTTCTCAAACTCAACTCATTTGCATACCATCGTGTAGAGGAAGTCTTGTTTTTTCGAATGAGCCTAATTGCAGGCTCAAATATTGACTGCAGGCCGAGTTACAAGCCTGCAAAGCGGTACAAGTCAGTGATGAGGTGCAGGTGGGGTCATGTGCAAGCACTGCCAAGAGCCATTTTCAGCCAAGAAACTCATCAGCACACGTCCGATGCGTAGAGGATGGCAAAGAGCATCTATTTTATCCAGACGGCTTTGTTGGGATGTCTCGAACAGGTTTACGTGTGAAGAAATTTGGCTTGATAAAGGAAATTAGAAGTTGTTTTTTGAAAAAACTAAAATAAAACTCAAGCTTGCGTTCTTTGGGGAAGCAACCATAACCAGTGTGTAGTTCTTGATAAGCTCTGTCTAGCAGTATGCTTACCCGTCCGGATAACCTGTGTTTCCGCTTTAAAATAGGACTCAAAAGAAAATTTTTGCGTTCGAAGACTTATTGTCCACCACATTGTGACGCGGCCATTTTCGGACTTTTTTTAGGGAAAAATTCCTAAAATTTTTAGAACATATGTTTCTCGAAAAACTCAAAGTGTAGATTGTAGATCTTGAAGAGCTCTATCACCTCATGCAATCACTACATTTTTTCATTCTTGTTTTCCCTCTGAAAAAGAGCGATGAAAAAGGGAGGGAGGCTTGTCCGCAACTTTTTGGCGGTCACTGTAGTTCCTAGTTGTTCTCCCGTGGATCAGAATGAACTGAATCTCAGAGAATCAAGAAAGTGATTTCTCTAGTAGGTTAGCAGTCTAGGGACATATTTGTCCTTTAGACGTCAGTTCAAAATTGCAGTTCAGGAGCGGACTTTGAAATGAAGGAGTTAGCGGGTAATCTACTTTCATAATGGATTCAGTAGGTGAAAAGTCGTTGGTCGAGCACGCCGTACTGATCGCAAAGAATTAAATTTTTTACTGTAAAAAATTAGTGGACTTTAGAAACCCATAACATTAATTTGCAGCGGAAACCACCAAAGGCGCTGTGCTTAACCTCTTGAGGAGCATAAGAATAGTGCTAAACAGGAGACAATTTAAGTGAGAGCCACATTACCAGTCTGGACAGGCCACCTTATT